TTCATCAACCAACCCTACCGCACCCCACAATCTATCCCCGAAAAGGTTCCGAGAAGGGAAAAACAGAAAATGTCTCGAATTCCCAGCGGCGGTATCCAACCTCCTAGCACAAGTGCCGGTGTCCCGAGCCCCACCGGTGCCGATGATCGGTCCGAAATCCTAAGATGGTTATCCCCGGTTGAGCCCCGCGCACGGCACCGGGACATTAGAACCCGTCGGGTCAACAATTTGGGGGGCTGGCTTCTGCGAACCGATGAATACCAAAAGTGGTTTGACGGCAGTCGCAAAGGTAAACCCGATAACGCGGTCCTGTTTTGCTACGGAGGTCCGGGGGTTGGAAAGACCTATATCAGGTATGATAAGAGCAACATGCCTTGGGGAAATAAAGTTGTCGCTAACAAACCGGATATTAGTTCCCTGGTGGTAGATACGTTATGCGATCAGGCCATGGGACAGAATGCCGTCGTTGCGTGCTTCTACTTTGACTTCGCCGCGCAGAAGGTGCAAACCCCGACGAGCATACTAGGCGCCTTGTTGAAACAGATTGTTGGTGGATTGGGTGAGATCCCGGAAAAAATAGTTCAGGCATTTCGAGACCAGAAAAAGGTCATTGGTGGCCGGGGGCTGGGGCTCTCTGAAATTAGTGAGATGTTGAAGGATATCTCGTCCTCACGGCGCACCTTCATATGCATTGATGCTCTGGATGAATGTGTGTCGGAGTGTCGACTAAAGATTCTGGATTCACTAAAATACATTCTCCAGAGGTCCCCAGCCACCCGGATATTCCTAACTGGGAGGCCGCACACACGAAGAGTGGTTGAGAAACATCTTGCCGGGAGGTTAGCAATTGTATCCATAATGCCCACAGAGAGCGATATGATCAGATTCCTCCGTGTAAGACTGAGTGAGGATACAACCCCGGAAGCTATGGACAGTAGTTTGGAGGCAGATATTCTCAAGAACATTCTCCAGACGGTTTCGGAAATGTACGTGGGAGCGAGGGCAGCTGAGAGATGTATCTTACTTCATGTACTGATAGATGTGAGCCTAGATTCCTGTTGGCCTCTCTTAACATACGGGCAATCCTACAAGAAACAACTCTATACCACAGGAGAAAAAAGCTCAGCGCAATGGCGAATGGCTCGGGCTTGGTGGATGCATATGGGGCGACTCTTGAACGGGTAAAGGCACAAGGGAGGATGAAATCAAGACTCGGGATGGCCGCTCTAATGTGGATCTCCCATTCAGAGCGCCCTTTGCAGGTGGATGAGATATGTCATGCTCTGGCAGTGGAGATCGGATCCGCGGATGTGAGGTCCAGCAATGTGCCTTCGATCTGGACAGTGATAAGCTGTTGCCAAGGACTTGCCACGGTCGATAAGGAGGCATCGACTGTCCGCTTGATCCATTTCACCCTCCAAGAGTATCTCCGCAGCCATCCTGACCCCCTTGACAGCGCTCACTCGACAATGGCGGAAACTTGTTTGACCTATCTCAATTCCCAACAAGTCAAGAGCCTCCCTACCAATCCCCCTCCCAGCCTCCGAGTTGCACCCTTTCTGAGATACTCTTCCTTACACTGGGGAACTCACGCGAAAATAGAACTCTCAGATCGCGTAAAGCTCTTGGCGCTCAAGCTTCTTGACCGGTACGAAAGCCACGTATCTGCCAACTTACTCTTGAAAGAGATCAGCTCGGGGGTCGTTATCGCGGGTGCTCCAGGCCCCGGGAGATTTACTGCGCTGCACTGCATATCGTACTTTGGTCTTGTTGACATTGCAATCGCCCTAACGAAGATGAAGAGATGGGATGCGAACCAAAGGGATAGTGCCGGTATGACGCCCCTCTTGTGGGCTGCGAAATATGGGCATGAAGAAGTAGTAAAATTACTACTGGGGCAGAAGCATACTGAGCCCGATGAACCGGACACGGTTTATGGACGAACAGCACTTTCATGGGCTGCTGGGAATGGGCATGGGGGGGTTGTCAGGCTATTTCTCGGTCGGGAATTTGTCAATCCTAGCCGTTGGTGGGGCAAAGCCGCACGGGTACCAAACCTGCTATTAGGAAGGAGATTGGTCAACCCCGACAGGCCGGACACGTCTTATGACCGAACACCACTCTCGTGGGCTGCCGAGAATGGACACGATGGAGTGGTGAGGCTACTGTTGGCACGGGAAGACATTAACCCCAATAGACCTGACCAAGAGCATGGCAAAACACCACTCTCCTGGGCTGCCTGGAACGGGCACAGCGGAGTCGTGAAGCTATTGTTGGGGCGGGAAGATATAAACCCCGACAGCCCAGACGAACTGCACCGAACACCAATCCTATTGGCCGCCCGGAGAGGGCACGAAGGAGTAGTGAAGCTACTACTAGAGCGGAAAGACGTCCACCCCGACAGCCCAGACGAACTAAACCGAACACCAATCTCGAGGGCGGCCGAGAACGGCTATGAGGGAGTGGTGAAGCTACTTCTAGGACGCAAAGACGTGAAACCTGATAGCGCATACGGTGGCCGCACACCGCTCTGGTGGGCTGTCAAGAAAGGACGCGAAGGAGTGGTTAAGGTGTTGCTGGAACACAAAGATGTAAACCCCGACAGCACGTACGGTGGCCGAACACCGCTCTGGTGGGCCGTCAACACCGGCCACGAAGGAATCGTGAGGCTACTGCTAGCGCGGAGCGATGTCAACCCCGACAGGCCAGACATCCGCGGTCGAACACCGCTCTCGTGGGCCGCTGGGAATGGGCGCGCGAGGATAGTGAGGCTACTGCTCAGGCGGGGTGATGTCAACCCCGACAGACCGGACAAATATGGCCAGACACCTCTCTTCTGGGCGGCCGGGAATGGGCATGATGATGTAGTGGATTTGTTAAAAGTCCGGAAAGCTCCAGCCTCCAGTGTGCCTTAAAGTTTCGGCGCATAGTACCCGTATGTCACATCACATATTTAAGCACGACCGTGTGGCACTTTCATAACAGTAGTATAGACTTCACAACTGTTTCCCCCCCCCTACCCGATTCTCACTCAACCTCCCAGCATCACTTTATTCCAACCTTAGAAATTTCTATGATACATAGAAAGATCTCCATGGGCAGAATACCCTAAGCTATCATATACATTTATTTCCTCACTTTTTTCATATTTTTTTTCTTCCTTTTCTTCCGGCATTTTGGGAAGACTTTCTCGGACAAATTAGACAACAGAACGAGTTTTAGCCCGAGCAGCGCAATATATATATCGTATCATACCGGTAAATCTTTTGTGGAGATATTCCGGCGTTAGATTCGTTTCTGCTAGGAACGTCGTAGTAGGAGTTATGAACACATTAGAGATACAATTTCAAATTAGAAAGAAAAAAGAATATCGTAAAAAAATTCAACTCATCGGCACACGTATGATATGATATTATTTATTTACTCGGCCCCCCGAGTAAATAGCCTTTCAAGAACAAAAAAAAAAAACCAGAAGCGGCCCACCCCCAATTCCCATTCCAACCTCTAGAAAATATATATAGCGCAAAAGCTAACAAATTTAAAGCAAATCGAGTAAATGCCACACGCAACAGACAAACATGCCAGATACCCCTCCCGAGTGACAACACATGACCAATCCCCCCCCCCACAGTATGATAGCCATAAACCAGCAACCACACACTCCCAGAGAAAAAAAGAAAGAAAAAAACACAAACCCCGGATGCTTGCTTGCAGAGCACACACAGCTCTCTCTCTCACTCCCCGCAAAAGCCCCCAACCCGTACAAATCTATGATACCTACCCTACACTACCCCTTTCTCAACGAGTCGGTTGGGCACAACGGAACTACTCGCTTCCCCGCTTGCCAGAGTTTTGAGTTTCTTTTTCTTTTTTGGCACGAATCACCCAATCCGTCTCGTACCCCGTGGGGTTCAAATGAGTGAAGAATTGAATGATGGATGGATGGGTGGATGGGTAGAATAACTGAGGCTTTTGAGTCGACAAACTCGTGTGTGCGTGCTTGAACGGATTTCGGTGATTGTGGGGGGGGGATTTCGTCCTTCTTCATCCTTTTTCGTTCTTCAACTATAGTATCTAGCCAAATCGATTAAATTACATACGGTAGTAGCATCCCATGGGACGAACGATGGGTGAGAAGAGAGAAAAAGTGTTGATGGCACCGAGTGAGCGCCCGTGAAAAGAAAAAAAGAAAAAAAAAACCCCCCAGTATAGGCAATAATATGTATGTATGATAATATACAAGTAATGCACCACTCGGCCGATTCGCCGGATCTGAAGGTGTAAGTGGTACGAGTATGTCTTTACCAAGTAACCTAGTCAATTGATGAACCAGGCCCGTGGACAGAGATGCCAATCTTTACGTTGAGGGAAAGAGAAAGAAGGTATTGTTCTGGCCGCCTAAAACCTCCACCGTCCAATATTCACAATCCCGAGGTCTCCAAGCCTGTTCACCAGTTCTCTTTTGCGACACAATGATTGTTGTGTAATAATATTATATTATATTATAATATTATCATGCAGTTCATAACATAAAGCCTCAAAATTGTGAACATACATCAGACGCCCCTGTTGCACCAGACCTGGTGGACGTTAACCTATAGGCGGCCAGAACTGTAGATACTTGAGTACCTACGATACCCAACTACACTACCGTACACTACCAAGCACCACACACTATCATGTAGTACTGCACTTCTCCAAATATTACTTCTTACTACCGTGGATTACCTTACCAGTCTCTTCGTTCCTGCACTGGACATTAGGTTGAGCTAAATCGGGAAGGGAAGGAAAGAATGAGGCGAACATAAGATCCCTCCTTTCCACCCCAAGGCAATGGTTTCCCATCAGCCCAGTTGAAATAGACACAGTATCGTAGGACCCCCCTTCCTACGCTCCCACTACTGCAATGATAAAAGGGGAGTGTGCGAAAATAGTAGGAGATGATGAGACATGCAAGAGAAGAAAAAAAGCATCAACTACAGTACTCCACCCATGATGAATAAACAAGGAAAGGAAACATAGTTAAAGACTAATAAACCTTTCCCCCCTACCAACAGATGCTAGATTCCACTTCACGCCTCACGAAGCAATAAACACCAAAAAAATCAAAAAAATCAAAAAAAGATACACACTCCTCCCCTTTCCTATCAATCCGTTTCATGTTGATAATGGGCAGGAAAAAAAGTATTAATTCTGTCTGCCAATTCGCCCATCCATCCAGTAGTCCATTCCAACGTTATTGCGGGTAGCGTAAGTTTCGATGCAAACCGACAAAAAGAGTCATTCGGCGTGAGAACAATTAAGTCCCCACGGAAAATATCCGCTGCATTTCAAACTTTGTACAGGCCAACAAGAGAGACACAGGTTGTTTGCTTGTTTGTTGATGGAAAAGGGGGAAGGGAGAAAAAGAGGGAAAAAAAAGGCCCAAGCTCCTATGAACAAACTAAAAGGAAAGGAAAAAAGAGGACGCCAGCAGGAGAAAAGAAAAAGTTGGACAAAGCGGGTTCGAGCCCAAGCGGCTTGGTGATAATTCAGCTGCTCAACGACAAGTCGTTTAGAAGAGCCATTGTAGTTGTTGGTGAGGTGTTGGTGAGGTCATTTGACAAGGTTGAAGGGAGTCGTAAAACATGTGAGAGAGTGAAAAAGTGCTTGTCATTAAAAAGCCAAACGCCCAAGTTGCTAATGAAATTGATCGTGAAGATACCACCCCCCTTAACGAGCTTCAGCTCCACTTATTGGATTTGGTGTTGGCACGCCGGTTGATGGAGCAGCGGCGGCGGGTGTATTATCGAGAAGGCCAGCCTCCAGGTTAGACGGTGTTGGTGGAGCGGCGGTATTATTCCTCCTACCGAACGACAAAGAAACACCCCGCAGTGGGTTGCGCATCCAACGACTACCACCAGTATATTGCCCATCCTCCGACCCACGCTGAGCAGCCACTGAAGAACCACCCCTCGAACGACCTGAAGCACTGCCAGTATAATAAGGTGATATTATACGGCGCGGCGAGAAGAGCATACGTCGCGGCACAAGGTAAACATTGGCAGGTGGAGTCGGGGTTCCATTAGTACCGCGCCGATGTCGATGAGATCTAGATTGATCATCCGGAACATTTTCCCCCTCAGGTCTCGGCTTTGGCACATAATAGTCAGCCTTGCACAGCGGACAGCAAGCCTTCCTACTGGTAAGCCATGGATCGAGACATCCGGCATGAAAAGCGTGTCCACACGTTAAACCACGGATATCATCGTCGTCCTCGATAGTATCCAGACAAATTGCGCAGGAATCCCCAACAGAATTAAGAAGTTCGTCAGGGACTGCGGTTTGAACATGATCATGCTCATCCTCCTCGTCTTCATCATCCTCACATTTTCTCACCTCCGGCTCCGAGATATCAGACAGATGTTTTCTCGCAATCTCGGGTGCTTCCAATTTGTCAGTGAAAAGGGTTGGGGCAGGAGCGGGCGAAGTTTCCTTATCAACAGCAGGAGGAAGAGTGAGTTCCTTAGCAAGGGCATCCGGAGACCCATTATTGGCATCGGCAGAAGTTGCAGCTTCCAAATCCATTAAACTCGCAGGCCTGCTGTTTGGAGCAGTTTTAATTCCCCCTTCAGTCGGTAAGCCCATACGTTCCCTATGCGCCCTCCATGATTTGTACTTTGTAGTCGGGAACCTTTCGTTGACCTCATCCATCGTCATAAGCTTCTTCTCCCTCCGCCGACGATGTGGACGTGGCATTGTTTGGAGATCGACAGGTTCCTCCTCACCGTTCGCCCGACGTCGCTGTCGAGCATTGTAACGAAAGCAATACTTGACACCGACAATAATCCTGACGGTAAATACAATTCGCTGGTCAGTTGCGGTGACACGCTACACACTGTTATGCGGAGAGAATTCGCCGCACTGTGAAAAACGATAAACGAGAATGCATACCATAAATTCGTGAAAACAACTCCAAACCCCAACGCAACAAAAAACAACAAGGGAGAACTTGTAGGACCGTTATTGCCACCGCCATTCCCAGTCTGTGTGGGAGAAGGCGATGGTATTACGGGTAGTGTAGTGGACATGACGGTCGTGGTTGTGTTGCGCGAGTGACAACGTTCGCTACAAGCGACGTTGTGAAATGCCCAGGTTCAAGAGAGGTTTGAACAACAGGCTATATTCCCATATACAGTCGACCTCGAGCTAGCAAGCAACGGGTGAGGAAATGGAAGATAACCCTCGACCAAGTAAGAAGTGGTAGAAGGAAAAATTGAGCGGGGGGACGGATGAGGTTAATATGTAGGAGGGGGGTAGGGAAGCAGGGAGGGAGGGAGGGATGGGCGAAGTTGATGATTGACAGGTGACGATGAATAATTCGATAATTATTTCGCCCTAGTGATGGTGATCCTCGAGACCACTTGTGAGACTATCGGGTCGGTCGGGTGGTGGAGGAGGCTGTGAGCGGAGGTGGGGAGATTGAGTGAGAGAGGTGAAAAGGAGCGCGAAGTGAGAACAAGGGAAAGTTGGAAGGTGGTGAAAGGTGCCAGGTTCGAATGAAGAAAGGTTCCGCCCCAGCCGCTGTGGTCGTTGCACCGTGAAAGAAGTTCAACCCTCTTGTGAACAATGGCTACGGTAGACTACCCAATTCAGACAGCTAAAAAGCGTGAGAAAAGAAAGAGAAATTCAACGAATCCTCTATATCTTCACAACTTTGTTCGTTTATGGGATTCCAAATCCCGATCACGGGAGCACCACCGTCCGAATACTATTTCTCACTCTTGTTCGTTTTCGCTCTTTTCCCCCTTTCGCAGCCAGACCCTCCCCTTGCAAACACAAACACACACACACACAAACGGCCTCACGGCTCCCAAGATGCAAGCAATCCTTGGTGAGGAGGGCGAGAGTCGAAGAAGGGGAAGAAGAATAGAATGGGGGGAAAAGCAGAGGGAAGAGAAGGAAATAGGGGGGAAGAGATCAATGGATAAGGACAAGAAAAGAGTAATACGATCGGCTCGAGTGAGAGAAGAAAAAGAAAATAAAAAAATGAAAGGGCAAGAGGCAGAGAGTCGGTTCGGTTTTACACACAAATGGCTTGAGGAAGAGGGTCGTTCCTTCCGGCGACGGAGGAGCAAGCAACAAAGGCTTCAGTACAGGTGCTGCAGACAATTTGACACTTTCCACAAATCAAGTAAACGTATGGACATATCTGTCGTCGCCCCCCAAAAAAGTAAGACTGTTGTGAAGGCACCCTCCCCCATCCTTACATGTTGTATTCTCGACCTTCCATATGACAGGTACTCGTACTTGATTACTCGAGTATCGGTACATACCGGTACTCGTACATACAAAAGGGAAGGAAGGAAAGGAGGGAGAGGGAATAAGGAAGTGAGGAAGTGAGGAAGTGAAACTTCACTGACCAAACCTCATGAGACTACGAGTACAGATACTGGGACTCGTTCAGCAAGAAACTCCCAATCCCGGACAGAATGCCACGGTCATCCATCATCAATCACCTTTTTTCTTTTTAATTTTCAATTGATCATTGATCGGCTAACATCCCGAAAAGACGAGAGACACACATTCTACTGTAAAATGGATATGGATAGAGGCAAACAAGAGGAAAAACATGGTGACAGACAGACAGCCGCAGAGTAAAATGTGTGCTGACCAAAGAGAGGGCATCATCCTCCAGACCCTCCAAGCCAACAATTAACCTAACCACCCTTGCGAGGGAGCTCTAAAATAAGTTACTCGGGCAACGGGGGTTGACAACCACCAGCACCCCAACAGGGAACTGGGAAGACGGATTACCGGTATCATACCCAATGAGATCTTACAAACCACATCGATAGGGTCAGCTGCGGGTAAGGAGTGGGGTCCTCTCGAAAGAAAAACATTAAGAAGCGAGCGACTGGGTTATGGTATCATACCGGCAGAGACAGCCGCACCCCCCCAAACATTTCACACTGCTTTCTTGCTCTCCCCCCTCTCTGTCATTCTTTCTTTGCGCTGCCCGGACTACCATAGGTGGGGTACCGGTATTGTAGAAATACAAGTGCGATCCACAAGTATCGCCATTTAGACAACCCCCCGCCCTCGAGAAGTGGGATCTGCTCTTGCATCACTTTGTGCGATACGGTATCATACCCCCCCCCCACCCCTCCCATCAGGACAATGATGGATAATAATATACTCGAATACTCTACCTCTCATTCAATCCCTGAGCACTCATCGGCCATTTCGCACAGCTCGTCCCTGCCCGTGCAACGAGCCACAGTCTGCCAACTTATTCTAAACATGACACTGTACAGTACCTCTGTAAACACGACAGCATCCACCGACTAGCACACCAAGTCGCCACACACACAAACACACTGAGCCTGGCCCAGAAAGACAGCAGGCAGAGGGGGGGTGCGAGGGGTAGACTATGAAGAGATGGAACTACTCGTACTCGTATATTGTTGGCTGGGAACTTCCGACGCAAGCATTGAAGATCAACGAAACGTGGGATGATATATATAACAAAAAAAAAAAAAAGCCAGAAACCATCCCCAAAGGAAAAGCGGAGCTACCCAGTCTGCACCCGAGTGCCAATGGGCAAGACATTAGAAAAAGAAAAAAGGTCACGGCACACAATGTTTTCTCTTGTTCACTGTTTGGACAGCAGTCGTGAGGTGAGCTCTACTACGCTCGGGCATAGCAATGGCACGGGTACTCGTAATTGTCGAAGCGTTTTAAAAAGGATCGCTTATCGCCTGCTACCAAAATGTGGCCCCCTTTTCTTGGATATGGATGGATGGACGGTATGCGATAGACTACCGGTAGTAGAGCCTTTCCAAGAACACTTGGATACCACGAGCACAGCACCGGCGCGGGATGATTGATGATCTTGTTACCGGTGGAAGTACCGGTTTTCCGCGCTAGTGCGCACTGGAAAAGAGATAAGCGGGGGCAAAGGAGAAAGGGCCGCACCTTACACCTACCGTATCGATGTCCCTGCCATATTATCATACACACATTCCAAAAAATCGCCCCGCGAAAAGACGAACCTCACGCAAGCCCTGCTAACAACCTCCCCTGTGCCTGTTCTATGCAGTAATGTACCCCTACAAGTACCATACCCACCCCAATCCCACGGCCCAGCCGTGGTGTACGCACATCTGTTAACCATAAACTAAATTATGACACTGTGCGACATGTCGGACGCGATACTTGTACGATGCGATACCAAGTACAAGGGTCCGGCATTTAGCGATCGCACAGGCTGAAGAAAGGCGGGAAACAGCAGCAATAACGGCCGACAATAAAATGAACATAAGTCAGTCGTTGCAACCAATGCAAACCTCATGATGTGTGGAGCAAGTCACGCAATCTGAACCTTATGGTGGTTTTGAAGCCATCACGGGCAAAAGGAAGGGAAAAGCTCTGTTTGTAAGAACAACTGTCCTTAATTTTAAATAAAATAAGGTAACAAGAAAATAAATCTTCTATAAAAGATGAAGAGATAGTACTAATTTGAATAGGTTTTTAAACAAGCACATTGTTTCCACGGGTACTTCCTCTACTCTAATGCATATAAACATGAAGTTCCCCTTCTCTGCACTCGGCACTCATGCAGAATAACCATCCCTCAGGAGTGCTCCCCCAGAATACTCTTTCCAGGAGAATGCTTCCTAGAATCTGTCTTTCGGGAGCATTCTGGGTTAGAATCTCCTTCTACTGAGCCTGTGCTTGCAAAGTCCAACTCTTCTGCTTCTCTAATGTCTCTGTAGACTGAAATTATACACTCTCTTTAGTCAAAATTAGAACTCTCTGCTCTTTCACCAAATGTACCTTCCGCCATATTGCAGCAACAATTGAGCTTCCTGTTAGCACTGTATTTTCTATTTGTGCATAACTAAATACCCCTACCCAGTCCCGTGTTAAAAGATCCTGTTGTCTCTCTCTAAGAGAAAAATTCCTTCTAGTAGCCCATGCAACTACCTCTCTGGAGAATCACTGTAAATCACTACTTATCATTACTGAAGAACTGGGAATTAGGGTTAATGGGTGCACACTCTGCTATTTTTTTTGCCAGTTAAGTTTACCATTGTCGAATACCTTGGGTGAAACCTTTTATCATAATCAAAAGCATGATTGCTGTCACAAATGTAGCTTAGCATAGAAAACGTTTTCATATGACTCATGATTATGAGTCATAGGTAAGTTATTGCTTCACGCATATGACTCATTTAGGTCATATGACTTGTTATATTATGATTTATTATATTTCACACATGACTCAATTATGAGCCATAGGACTTGTGCCTGGTGAGTATGCGTTACAAGTATGCCTTATGGGTATGCCTTGCACATATGATTTATGTTTTGCACATGTGACCACTTGGGGTCACATGACTTGTTTATTATATTATGGTTGGGTTATGAGTTTTTGCAGATGACTTTACTATGAGGCCATGGAGTTTAAGCATGTAACTACTTGAGTCATATGACTAGTTTGTTAGGATTTAGTTTCGTGCATGTGACCACTTTGGGTCACATGACTTGGGATGGGAAGAACACTATGTAAGGAGGATAGTACAGCTGAGGAGGATAGGTTCTTCACGCTTTGTTCTAAGTACTTTCCTCATTCTTGTCTTCATTCTGACTCAGTGGTGAGCTTCTGCGCCCATGATGGTCCTTTTACCTGGCAGTTATCTGGGTTTGCCCAGTATCTGGGCATTAGGATTGTTATGTGGTTGAGGGCTTGTCTACTTGTTTGCATCTCATTTCATCGCCTGCTGGTTATTTCATGATGCTGGTACTTCGAGCTATTCATTACTGTCACTTACAAGCCCCTTTCAGTACAATGTCTTTGGCTTCCTGTCTGTTATCTACTGGCAGGTTTTGCGTTTGATTAGGGGAATTGAACATTGTATTTAAGGGGATCACCCATGTCGTTCATTAGGCCAGCTCATATTTGTTAGGTTTTAACAGAGTCCTTAGTTCTCATAATACAAAACACTCTTAGAATAGACTGATAACCTTCCCAAGTTTCAACATGTCGTACTGGCTATATCATTTCTCAGGTGGCAGGATGGTACCTACTCAGCCCCTTCTCGTTACATTTTCATTTCTATGATGGGAATCCTACGATGTTGTTTATTGCCGTTCTCTTGGAGATTCTGTCCTTGCGGCTTTACAGTAGTTCAGTCAGGTATCTTCTCCTCACTTTAATGGGGATGGCTTTGACCCTGAAAAATCTTACAACCTGATGTGGTTTTCTATTACTACTTAGGATGGTGTTAAATAATTGGCTGCAAGATCGTCTTATTATCTGTATGTGTGCGTAGTTCAGTTGTGGATTGTAGTTGGCAGCTTCACCTATTGCAAGTGGGACCTACCTTCTGTTTATCTGCTTCTATTTGTTCACCCTTCCCCTTCCTGTCTTGTCAGTTAGAGGTGACTCTTACCTGTCATT